ATATAATATATTAATTTATAAATTAGCATATATATTATAATATATAACATTTATTTTTTTATTTTTTTTTAAAATTAAGAAAATTAAATATATTGATTTTTTTTTTAGGTATTAAAATTATAAAAAAATAAAATATAAATATATATATATATATATATATATATATAATTTACAAATATTAATTTATATTACAAATAATATTAAAAAATAATTATTTAATTAAAAAACATAATATAAATATATTGATTATTTTAAAATATTTAATTTTTATATTATATATAACTTAAATCTATTTTTTATTATTTATATTTGCTATTTTTTATTATATTATATTTAAATAGAGATAATTAAAAATTAAATATAAACATTTATCAATATAAGAAAAAATATATATTTTTTTTTAAATAAAAGTATATATTGATTTATATATAATTAATATTGTTTAAATATATAATTATTTAATTTATTTATATCATTAAAATTTCATTTAAAATTATTATTACTTTATTAACTTTAATTATTTTAATTAAAACTTCTATTTAAAATATTTTCTCTATTAACAATTTTTAGAAACAGCTCTATCATACAATTCATTAATTGTTTGAACTTTATTTTTTTATTAGCTTTTTTATTTTTTTAAACTCCATTTTTATTTATAATACTCAATTGTTTTAGAAGGTGTATTTTTATTACTTGAATTATTTGATTTTATATTACTTTAATATTTTTATGGAGTTATTAATATTCTTTATTAATGCTTTTCTTTTTAAATATTAAGAGTTTATTATTCATCTTAACTCTCACAACAATATTTGTTTTCTTATTAAAATTTTACTGTTTTTTCGTTTTTTAAAATTCCTTTCAATTAATTATTTAAAGTTTAATTATTATCTTAAATTTAAAAATCTTATTATATAATATTTTCATACAAGTGATTTATATAGTTTATATAATATGAAATATCTGATTCAGAAGCTTAGACATCAGAAAGATCATTAATATTAAATTGGCTAGATATATTATTTATTTCAGTAATATAAATAGGTATTTATTGTTATTCATTATAAAATTCCATTTATTTATTTTATAAAAATAGTTTTTATGATTTTTCGATATATTGTATATATAAATTTATTATTAATAAAAAAATTAAAACTAAATTTCTAGTTTATTGAATTGAATATACAATAATATTTTTAAATTAAAATATACGTAATATAATAACTAAAATAATAAATATATATAAATAAATATTATAATTACAATAATTTCTATATATAAAAAATAAAAACAAATATAATTATAGAATATAATTATATATACATATATTTATATATATATATATATATTATTTTATATATTTTTATAAGATTTATGAAAAATCATATTTTATAATTAATTTTTTTAATATTCTTTTTATTTTTCCTTTTTTAAAACTTAAGTTTAGTTTTATTTCTTTCCAAAAATTTTATATTTAAAACATTCAAAACATTATCATAATTATTATGAGCAAAATAAACTTAGAAAATTTTCATTTTATCAATATCAATATGTTATTAGTTTTTAAATAATAAAATAAAATTATAAAAATTTTTCTTATATTATTATTTCTATTCTTCAAACTAAGAATATATATCTTATTCTGTATTTTATATAACTTATAATTATTAATTTTATTAATAATTTTATTATTAAAAAGTATTAGTTAAACAATTTCCGCTACTTCTTTAATTTGTAAGCTTTTCATCATTTTATATATTTTTAGATGCAGATCTTTTTAAACTTGATTTTCGTTTCAATTCATTATCGTAAGTCAAATCTGTAAAACTTATAGATTTACAATTATTTCCTTAATTATTATTAATATGGTTAATATTATTATTTTAGTTATTTATATTATTTAAGCTTTTTATTTAAATATTATTATTAATATTACTATCTTTTATAAATTTAAGACTACCATTATCTATATCTTCATAGTCATGATTTTACTCTTCGTCTTCTTCTTCTTCATCTTCAACTATTTAAATATCATTAGTTTATTTATTAAATATAATTTTGGGAGTATTAGAGATAAAAAAATCATCATCCATTTCAAAGATTTACTATAAATTTAGATTTTCTACAAAATAAAAACTTAAAATACAAAAATTAAAAAAAAGAGAAAATAATAAGAAATTTTTACGTTCGGCCCAAAAAACGCTTTAAATACATTATTTTCTTAATACATATTGTTTTGGTAGACCTAACCTTAAGTTTCTTAGTTATTTTTTTAATTCAGAATAGTTATATTATTAATAATTTTTTTAACGATAAAAATTTTATCTTTTTTGTGGCTATGAACAAGTATATCTTTTTATTAGTAATCCAAAATTAACCTCATAATGCAATAAAGGACAATTTATAACAGAATGATTTTTGTTTTTGCAAGATTTACAAAAACTCTATAAAATTTATTTCTTTTATATCATAATCTCATTATAAAACATCATAAAGTTTTCATAATCATCTTTATAACATTTTATTATTTCTATAAAATCAGACCTTTCTAAATATACTAATTATGTAACTGATGTGCTTTTATAAGAGTATTCACACTATATATCACATAAAAAAGAAAACTCATCAAAACAATCTCCCTATAAATTAATATATATACATATACATATACATATACATATACATATACATATACATATACATATACATATACATATACATATACATATACATATACATATATATATATATATATATATATATATATATATATATATATATATATATATATATATATTTATTATTTTTTTTATATTTTATTTACTTATTTTAATTATTATATTAGAGTTTATAATTAAGTATTAATTTGATTTTAATAAATTATTTATTCAATACTTCCACTTAATATGAAATATACTCTATTATTTGTTTCACCTTAATTTACTACCATTTCCCCTGGTCCAACTGTACATTCATTTAATTTTGCTCTTAATTCTTCTTTAAATTTATCTGAGAATCTATTTTAAAAAAGTTTTATTTAATCAAGTACTTTCATAAAAAACTCATCATAAACTTCTTCTCTTATCCCTTTGCTTAATTAATTTAAAATTAATTAGCCTTACTAAAAACTATTATTGGAATTAAGATTAATATGTTCTAAATATTTAATAACTTTGACTTATAATTATTTATTAATAAACCTATTTTACATATAGTCTAAAATAGCATACTTATTTTTTTTAAACTCGACATTTTTCTATGCTTTTTCTTAAAAAATACTTCCTATGGTATTCACTGCAAATGCAAAAGTTCCACAACTAACTAATGTCATTAAAATAACATATGTTTTTTCCTTAATATTCTATGGTGTAATATCCCCATAACCAACTGTATTCATAGTAATAATAGCAAAATAAATAGAATTTATATATCTTTCAAAATTACTTTTAGTTAATAGTTTATAATTAATAAGCCAAGAAGTTTCCTAGTCAGAATTCCATGCCAAATAATGAAATCCACACCCGCAAAAATGTGCTATTGTAACAATCAAAGAAACTAGCTTTATTAGTTAAAAAAAACTGGGGATTCTCCTTTATAGTTAAAAATTGTCGTCCATTTTATTCAAGATAATAAATATTTAAGGAGTTCGTAAAAAAAATAATAGAATAGAAAAACTATGGTCTTCGTTTGACATATAAAATAATATTATTATAGTGATTATATCAGGAACAAATTTCAGTTTTAAATAATTTAATAATATTTTGTTTCTTTTTAATACTGTTATTCCTTCTTCATAATAACCTGTGTTTATTATAAAAACCATTTCGATAAGGAAAAAATAAGGCGGAATATCAAGTAGTAATTTAATTAAAGCCGGTTTTTCTAAAGTTAATTAAAAACAAACTTTTAACGGAATAAAAAAAAACTAAGTCACAATAAATCCAAAGGTAATAAATTCTTAGATTAAAATTAAACAATTAGAAGGGTCTATAACAGGAATAGATGTATATATTTTCCATAATCGTTCTATAATTTTTAAAAATAGCTCTAGTATAGATAATTATTAGTGCTTTTGTTTTTTTTATAATTGCCATCCAAATGAATAATCATTAATTAAACTAAAATGATATTTTTTCAATGCAAAAATACTTCTACTAAATATTATTTTTTTTAATATCATTTTAAATTTTATTATATAATAAAATATATTCAAATAGTTTTTTTAAGTTTTGTCTGTATTGTTATTTGTTTGAATTTCTCCAATAATTCTAGATTATTATTTTTATATTTATTTACTTTTTAATTGCATTTAGTGTTATTTTTTTTAGGCATAACTTTTAGAAATTACTTTTTTTGTTTTATTTCATTTAATAGTGCTTTTTTTTTTTTTTACTTTTACTTGATAGCGTAGGGGTATTTATTTCACTTTTATCATGCTATTCGTTAAATGTATATTGAATTTGATCATTTACAGATTGTTTAGTTTATATTTAATTCATAAATGATTATTTTAAAGTCGTTTAGGAAAATAGAAAACTTTTATTTTAAATTTTCTCTATATTTTATTAAATTATTTGATAGTTTTCACTCATTTTCAATTATTATTATTTTATAAAAATAAATAAATATTATCTGTTCAAATAAAAGTTTTAATAAATAAAAAAACTGTACATAATAATAAAATAAGAATAATTTGTTATAAATAAATAAATTATATTATTATATAGAACATTATAATTAATTTTTATTTCAATGTAAATATTATAACAAAAAATATATAAAATTAAAATAATAACTGTTAAGTTTAATTGTTATTTTTTATGTTAGTTAAATTAAAAACACTATACATAAATGCTTACTTGTTGTTTATTCTATATATATTTCTTTAAAATAGATATTAAATAATAATAGTATTATTAATATATTTAATATAAAAAAATATATATAATTTTAATTTATCACTTTATATTATTTATTTTAAAATAATATTTTTTTCATAAATAGATTTTTTACTATTATTGTATTATTATTGTTTGTTCTTTTTTCTTTTTTTCATATTCCCGTATTCTATTATATAAAAAAATAAAATAAAAAGGGGTAATTAATTTTATTATATGTATAATTATTGTATTATTTAAAAAAAATACAAAAAAAAAATTATAAATAAAAATAAAAAAATATTAATTTAAATAATTTCTCAAAAAAATTATTTTTTCATTAATATATATTCAAATTTATATATAATAAATTAAAATAATTTATATAAAATTTAAGTATTAACATTTCAAAATATACAATTAAATAATTTTACGAAAAATCTTTTAAAATATAAATTAAATTTTATTAAAATATAAATTAATTAAAATATATTATAATCTTTATTAATAAAAAATTTTATTTAAAAAAAATATGTATAATAATATATAAATAAATATGCATATATATAACATACATATATATATATACAAATATTTTAAAATATATATATATATATATATATTTATATATATTTATTTATATATATAAATTTATATATTCTTATTTCTATTTATATATGAATATAATTATATATTAAATAAAAACTTAAATTATATAAATATAAATACATATATATTATATCAGAAAATTAAACTATTAAAAAATAATTTAATATAATGTTTACAAAATTTATTAAAAGATCATTTTAAAATTCTTTACTAAAACAATCGTCTGAAATAATAGGCATAGACCTTGGCACAACTAATTCTTGTATTGCTATTCAATTATCAAACAATTAAGTTCAAGTAATTGAAAATTCTGAAGGTTTTCGTACTACACCTTCTATAGTAGCTTTTTAAAAAGATGGTTCTCATTTAATAGGAATGCCAGCAAAAAGATAAGTAAATATTTTTTAAAATAAACAAACAAACAAACAAATAAACAGTAAATAGTAAATCCTGAAAGTACTTTTTTTGCAATAAAAAGATTAATGGGTAAAAAATTTGATGATATAGATGTATAAAAAGACTTAGAATCGTTTCCATATAAAGTATTATAATTTACATATATATACAAAAAAATAAAAAAATTAAATATATATATAAATATATATATATATATATATATATATATATATTTATATATAAGATAATTAAATCTAAAAATGGTGATGCATGGGTATAAACAAAAGAAAATAAATAATACTCTCCATAATAAATAAGTGCCTATATATTAATGAAAATGAAAGATACTGCAGAAAACTACTTAAAAACTTCCATAAAAAACGCCATAATAACCGTTCCGGCTTATTATAATGATTTATAACGTTAAGCAACAAAAGATGCAGGTGAAATAGCAGGATTAAATGTAATAAATTGATTAAAATAATAATTTATAAATAAAGGTATAAAGAATAATAAATGAACCAACAGCAGCTGCATTAGCTTATGGAGCAAATTAAAGCATAAATTAAAAAAAAGTAGTCGCAGTTTACGATTTCGGGGGAGGAACCTTTGATATTAGTATTTTATAGATAAATGAGAGCGTATTTGAGGTAAAAGCGACAAATGGAGATACTAATTGTGGTGGAGAAGATATCGATAGTTTATTATAGAATTTGTTACTTTAGAAATTTAAATAGGAACACGGAATAGATTTAAAAAGTAATAAAATGGCTACTTAAAGAATACGAGAATCAGCCGAAAAAGCCAAAATAGAGTTAAGTTAAAAATCTTAAAGTGAAATAAATCTCCCTTATATATATAATTAAGTACATTTTTCCTGTATAATAAAAAGAAATGAATTCGAAAAATTGATAGAAGATCTGGTTAAAAAAACAATGAATTGTGTATAAAAATGTATTAAAGATTCCGGATTTTAAATTTAAAACATAGATGAGGTATTATTAGTGGGAGGTTCTTCAAGAATACCCATAGTTTAGAAAAAAATTACGGAATTTTTCTAAAAAAATCCAAATAAATCTATTAATCCAGATGAAGCTGTAGCTATTGGAGCTGCATTATAGGCTGGTGTATTAAAAGGTAAAAGATTATATATATATATATATATATATATATATATATATATATATATATATATATATATATATATATATATATATATATAATTATTAATTAGGTAATGTTTAAGATATTATTTTAATAGATGTTACACCATTAAGTTTAGGTAAAAGTATATAAGGTGATATTATGAGTGTTATTATTCCTAGAAATACTACAGTTCCTGTTAGTAAATCAAAGATTTACACTACTGTAAAAGATGGTTAGACTTAAATTGATGTAATAATTTATTAAGGAGAAAGGGAAATTGCTTCCAAAAATAAAGAAATTGGAAGATTTATTTTAGATGGTATACCTATGGCTCCAAAAGGATTACCTAAAATAAAGGTTACTTTTTAAATTGATTAAAATGGAATTTTACATGTAAAAGCTTTAGAATTAGGGACTGGAAAAAAACAAGAAATCAAAATTTAAAATTAAGGCAAACTTTCTAAAGCAGAAATAGATAAAATGATGTAAGATGCGGAAAAACACAAAGAATAAGATATATTAAAATAGGTATATTTATTTATAAATAAATAAAAAAATATATATATATATATATTTATATCTATTTATATATATATATTTAATTTTTTTACATAATTTTTTTTTTTATATTTTTTTTTATTTAATTTATTAAAATGTTTATAATCATTATTATAATATATATTATTCTTTTATATTAAATTTTTAAAAAAAATCTATATAAAATATAAAAATATTATTATATTTTTAAAATTTTCTAGAAAATTAGTTCTTTAATTAATAAAAGTGAAGGATTAAATTATTAAATTGATAAAGATCTTAAAATTCATTAAGATAGATTATAAAGTACTGACATTAATTTAATTTTATAATAAATAGATAAACTAAAAGATTTGATATCTCAAGTTTAATATACCGATGCTTACTTATTATAATTATAAGAATAATATAAAATAACAAAAGATTCTGGATTTTTAATAGGAAAAACAATATATAAAGATTTCTAATAATAAACTTCAAATAATTCTAAAGAAACTAAAAATTGATAATTAAAATATATAATATTAATTTTTTTTTTTTTTTTTTTCAAGTAAAATAAAAATTAATTTTGTAGTATAAAAATAAAATAAATGAAAAGTATATTTTAAAATCTTCCATTTAAAACACGTGGATATATATCTCTAATAGGTGGTTTTATCATTCATATTATTTTAGGTACATTTTATTTATGGAGTGAAATGAATTCTTACGTGACATCATATTTAAGATTAAATGGTCATTTATATTCCAAAAACACTGTTAATTAAGTTTTTCCATTTATGATTTTATTTATCAATATAGGATCTTTATTTGGTTTAAAATTTGCCTAATAAATAGGTTTTAGGCTATTTAGTATCTTTTTTGGCTTTATTTTGGGACTTTCAGTATTTTTAAGTTCTTATTTTTTATCTAATTTTATTCTTTTTATACTTTTTTATGGTTTTTTTTTTGGAATTTCTACTGGTTTATTGTATATGTTGCCTTTTAATGTCTGTTATGTTTATTTTGTTAATAAAAAAGGAATAATAAGTGGTATAATTTCTGCTGGTTTTGGCTTCGGTTCTATGATTTTTATATAACTTGTATATTTTTTAGTAAACCCAGACAATATATAAGCTTAGAAAGATCCGAATGGTTCTGAAAGTTACTATCCATAGGAAGTTTGTGATAATTTACCTAAAACTTTTCGCATTTTAGGCATCATATATTTTACAGGAACCCTTCTCGGTTCTCTACTCCTCGAAAGCCCGACAAAATAGGAAAGGGAAGATGCTCTATATGACCACAACGAAACATTGTTAGACAAAGATAAAGAAATAAATGAATGTTTATACGTAAAAGATGGCTTAAAAACAAGATTTATATACATATCTTGTCTATTAGTATGCCTATACGCCTCATATGGGGCTATGATAGTGATGAATTTCAAATCTTATGGCGAATAACTATAATATTCAGACAAATTTTTGACTACAGTGGGTATATCAGGTAGTTTTTGTAATGGATTTTCAAGGATTTTCTGGGGATACATATTTTAGAAAATAAGCTTTAAAAAACTAATTTCAATTAATTTAATTTTACAGGCTTTGGTAAGTTTTAGTTTTCGATATAGTGGTCATATTTAGGTTTTTTTTTAATTTATGTATGTTTAGGTTATTTCTTCTATGGAGGAATTTACGCTATTATGCCTGCTTTGATATCTAATGTATATGGAAAATAGGTTGGAACAAAAATATATGGAATCACTTTTTTTGGATTCACTATAGCATCTTTTTTGTAGTTTTTTGTAGTCAAATTTATACAATAGGAAGTCGGATGGGAAAACATGTTTTGGATTTTTACAGCAGTTTAAATTTTTGCACTTATAATTACTCAATTCGTATAATTTAAAATCGATTGGAAAAAATATTATAATAATACTATTACTATAGATTGATAAAAATAAAAAAAATCCAAACAAACAAAAATACATAAATATATATATATATAAAAAAAATATCACCATTTAAATTCAAGAAATCTTTTTTTGTAAGTTTCTCCTTTAAATTCTAATGGTCCAAGTATCCAATCTCTTTAAGGTAAGCCATAAATATCGATTTTACATTCATTTGCTCCTGTATCAATGACAATAGGTTTTTATGGTTATGCATTATCTTCTAAAATATCACTAATGGTAGATTTTACATCTATAATTTCTTTATTTTCTCCATCTAACATTCTTTTTTTTCCTTATCCTTTATCATTTTCTTTTTCATTTTCTTTTCCTTTTTTTTTATCTAAGCAATTCTATTATTCCTTTAAGTCTATTTTCCCTTTATAAGCCCCTATTTTGAAATAATAAGGAGTAAATTATCCATCTAAATATATAGACCCTTTAAACTTATTTAAAGGTTCAAGTGTTAAACCTACAGTAAGTCCTGTATCAAACAAAACACCATCAGCAGCTCCTCCTACTTCTGTAAATCCTACATCAATTGCAATTTATCCACTAACAGTAACTCTAGTTGATAATCCAGCACTTAAAGTTAAAATAGCCTATTTAAATTTAATACCTAGATCATAATCTAATTACCATTCAGCTCTTAACATTATTTTGATACCAATACCAACAGAAGTAACATATGTATAAGAATAATCAATTGGATATCTATAAGCTATAAAAAAATTAAATATATATATATATGTATTTCATACCTGGAATTTTAACTTATTTTTCATAAGTAAAATAATCAAGCAATTATTTAATAAGATCTGAATATAAAGAATCAATGTTTTGATTTTCACTACTAGTTTTACTTTTAAATTAACTCAAACTATCTAAAACTTAATTAATTCCGTTTTAACTTAAATCAAGTGCAGCATCTTCTACAGAAACAAGTTAATTATTAAGGTTTAAATTTTTTAATTATTCATCTAAAGAATCTCCTACTAATATATTATTTTAAATAGTATCAATAATCTCTTTTCCGTATAAAATTCTATATTCCTTATCTAAAACTCCATTTTTATCCAAAATATGCTTCCTACTTAAAAATCTAAATGAAACTTCTTTCGAAAGAATACTATTGAACTTCTAATTTGCTTAATTAGCCTTACTTTAGATCATTTTCCATAATGAATTGCCCTCTTATTTAATATTTCCGACTGATAATTTAATTTAATCCCAATATTTAGTTGTTAATTTCCCCATGTCCTTAATCTACTGTATAAACTTTAAGAATAAATCAGGAATACCCTTCATTCTATCTAATGTAGTGGTAATAGGATCAAAATTCAAGTTTATACTTTCTTTTACTTTCTAAATGATTTCCTTGGCCTCATCAAAAAGTGGAGTTTTATAATAATCATCACTACTTTTTGGGAAATTAGGTTTTACTAAAAACTATTTAATTTCTTTATAAATATTCTTTACTTCCAGAACTAATTATTTAGAAGTATTAACTATACCATCTTTCCACTAAATAATATTTTCTTTAATTCTAATACCCAAATTCTTTATTTTATCGATCATTTATATGCCCTATTATTTCAATTATTTAGCTATTTCTGTAGGGAAACCTACTATTTTTTGTGCAAATTAAGATATTGATTTTAACATACTTCCCTATTGTAATTTTTTCAAAGTATTTACTAATTTAATAACTTCCTATTTAAATTCCGAAAAGCCGCTGAATAAATCTACAGTAAGGCTTACTATTTCATCGTTTTCTTAAAACAAAATTTATATATCTTTAAGATTATTATTATCGTTATTAGTTGGAATTTTATTTAATAATTCTTAAACTGACACTTACATAACAGAAAGTCCTTTTTATAAAGTTTATTTCAATAATTTTGTAAAATCAATATTTTAAGATATTTTTTAAATAACTTATTTTATTAACTTCTACATCATATCCATTAAAAATTTACCAGTTAACCTTTTTTTAAATTAATTTGGTATTTTTACATATTTCTAAACTTCTTCCTACATTTAAATAGTGGTTTTAGAAATTTTATTTTTTAACTAACTTAAACCATCTTAAATTAATTATTCAGCATTCATATTTGCTATTTTATCTATTTCTAGTGTTCTGTTAAATATTTCGTTAGTCTTTTTCAATATTAATTACTTAGTTTCATTCATTAACTTAGTTAAAGGTTATTCTAATAATTAATATATAATTTATTCATAATTATTCATAAAAAAATTAATTTAATCTTTTATTTTTTAAGGAATTCCTATGGTAATATTAGTTTCAATAAAATTTTTAATAGTCATAAATTTATTTTTAAAATAATTATATAATGAAGTAACTGTATCTTATATATGAATTTTTTTGTCAGATAAAAATGAAAAAGTTCTCTCTTTAATAGTATTTAAAGGATCTTCAATTAATTTATTTACATTTTTTAATGTCTTTAAATATAAAAAATAAAAATAAAATAAAATAAAAATTAAATAAAAAAAAATAATATATAATAAAAATAAATATATTTATATATATATAAATATATATATATATATATATATTTATTTATTTTTATATATATATGTATATATGTATTTTTTAATATATTTAATAGATATATTTTTTTTTTAATTTTTAATTATATATTTATATATAAATATTTTAATTTATTTATATAAATTTAAAATTACTGTATTTATTAAACTTTCGAATGTATTTAATAATTTTATAATTCCTAATTCATCATTATCTAATGTTTTATATATTTCTTTTAATATTGGATTTTTTTGAACATCTATCATTTCTTCAGATTTATCTAAAACTCTATTAAATGCTGTCATGACAGTTTATATATTTTATTCTATTTTTTCTTTCAAACTTTATGATTTTTTTACAAAATTATGTTAAATATATTAATAATATTTCAATAATTAAGAAATGTTTATTTTAGCTAAAATAAAATAAAATTAAAAAATATTAAAGTTATAATAATTACTTTTTCTTTCATAAATTTTAGTTTATTTTCCATTAAAATATCCATATATTCCAACTGTGCATATATCTTCTTCTGAAATTATTTTACTTTCCAAACATTAAGATTTTAAATCTGCTCCGAATTCAAAAGTACCAATAGTTTTTCTATAAATTGGTTTATCAATAGTTTCTCCAATTAATTTTTCTTTTTAATCATTATTATTTTCTATTTATTTATCATCTTTTTCATTTTATTCGTCTTTTTATTAAACATTTTCATCATTTTATTCGTCCTTTTTATCTTTTATTTTTTCATTTTCATCGTTTTATTCGTCATTTTTATCGTTTTTTTAATCATTTATATCATCTTTTTAATTATTTTTATCGTCTTTTTAATCATTTTTATCTTTTATTAATTATTATTTGGATCTTTTTTTTAATTATTATTTTTTTAACCTATTATTTTTTTAACTATTATTTTTTTAACCATTATTTTTTTAACCAATTATTTTTTTAATTATTATTATTTTTCGAATTACTTTTTCCTTTTTTTTATAAATTTCTATACTTTTAAACTTCGTCTTAATCACTATCTTCATCTCTATCTTCATCTCTATATTCATCTTCATCTTCATCTTCATCATCATCTATATTTATCTTCATCATCATCTTCATTTACCTAAATTAATTTTCTAAATCTTTCTTATTTTAGTTTTTATTTTTTAGTTGTAAAATCATAAGTTTTAGTTTATTTTTCAACTTCTAAATTTATTTTTTATATTTTTTCTAAATTATAAAGATTCTCCAATTCTTATAATTTTCTTTATTATTTATAAGCTTCACTTTTATTTATCTTTAAAGTAGTCATAATTTGTTAATATTTCTTTATTTAATTAAAATCCTCTTCTTTTACATTATTTTCTTACCCAAGAAACTCAATAGTAATTTTAGATCTTTGTTCTATTCTATCAAACAATGGTAAATCACTCTATGATTCACTTTTAGGTTTCTCATTCATCACAAAAATTGACTCTGTTATACATTTTTAGATACCTCCATTCACAATTTCGCATTTTTAAGCATAATTATCTGCTCTATCTGAGTTTTCGTCTTTTTATTATACTTCCTGGCTTTATTTTAATGTTCCTTTAGTGCCATCATCTGAATCTACAATCGCTTCTAAATCAGGTTTAACGATTTCTCCGTTTAAATTTCTGAAAGTATATTAAGTTTTTCTTTCCTATAAAACTCTATTTTTACCATTCTAGACTTTATACACATCAGCTTTTAAAATAGGAGACAATTAATCAATTAAATTCTAGTAAATTTAATAAATATCATGTCTTAAATTAATAGGTTAATAAACTTCATTGATTTATCCTTATTTAGAAACCTTAAATCTAATAATAGGATAATGACTTTTTTAATATTCTTAAACAGAAATATTTTTTGAGGCTAAAATAAACATTTCTTTTTCATTTAAATCTCCATATTAATTCTCTAAATTACTAGTTGATACTACTAAGCCATCTTTTTGCAAAATTCTATTATTATTATTATTATTTTTTTCTACATCTTTATTTTAAACATCTTTTTTGTTATCTTCGTTTTCTATTATTTATTTTAACTCTTTTTTCAATATATCAGGAAAGCCTGTCAAAATACTCTTTTATCCATTTTATTCTTTTTCAGTTGATATAAAATATAAATACATATCGAATTCTGAATCTGTTACATCTGCACATAAGAGTCCTATTTTATGACTAGTTTTTGTGATTTCAATTTTTGTTATTTTTAACCAGTTATTGTTTTTTATTCATTTTCTAATATATATTTGTAAAATACTTAAGTTAGAGGCACATGTATTATTTTTAAAACATTTTATTATTACCCATTTTATATTTTTTCTTCGTATTTTTCGTAGTTACTTGGTATTTAAATTTACACATTATTGTCGTTTGATGATAAAGAATCATCTTTTTTGCCAGACAATACACCTCCTATAGCCAAGCCTCCTAATATTATTCCTATAGAGATTAATACTCCAATAGATATTATTACAATCTTTTTTATTCTGATTTTTTTTATTGATTTGCTTTGTTAACTAAAAGCATTATTTTCGTTTATATTTTGTGAAAATAAGGGTTGGAAAGTTTACGCGATTTTAGGTTTGTCTTATTAAGATGATAATTATAATGATTTTTATTATTAATCTAAATTATCTAACATTTTTTAATTATATTTTTTCTTCTTTATTTTAATATATTAAATGTAAGTTTATTTATTATTAAATAATTTATTTTATATATTATAATTGATTATTTTATTTAATATTATTATTTTTATATTTATTTTATAAATGGTTCTATTTTTCCATAACCATTAATTTTTCATTAAATAATTTATTTATTTATAATTATTTATATTTCTACTTTTTTTATTTAAAAACATTCTTATATAGATAATATAAGAAAAATTATTAAAAAAAAAAGACTACATTAGCTTCTTTATTAATAAATATTATAGTTTTTGATATACTTAAATAAATGATCTTAAATTATAATATATGATTATGTTTAAATTAAAAAAATATAAAAAATATAATGTTTATTATATTTATATTATAATAAAAATAATACAATAATAAAATACATATATATTTTATTAAAAAAATATAATAGAATCATTAATTTTAAAATAATAAATTAAATTTATTAAAAATAATCATTTAAACTTCTTTTAAAATTTAAACTTATTGGCTTTATATTTTTAAAAAATACAACAAAGATTAAAATTTGGAAAATAGTTAATAAAATTATTTTATTTATCAAAACTTAAAAAAAATTCAAAAAATATCTAATCCTTATTAGATTTGGTATATTATTTTTCGACATTTTCTTATTATTATAATATTTACTAATTCAAATTTTTTTAAATAAAATTGCTAAATGCTTTAAATATTAAAGAAGACTAATTAGTATTATTATTAAAATTATTTTTGACATTTTTTTCTTACAAATTATTATTAAAAGTATTTTATTTCAAAAATGACTTACTTTTATCTTTCACAAGTTTATTTTTTAAAAAATTCTCATTTAAAAATATTAAATTACCATCAAATGATTATTTTGAAGAAATATTTTATATTAAATTTAAACTATTATTGTTAGTGCTATTAATAATATGTTTATTATTATTATTAATATTATTATTATTATTATTATTATTATTATTATTATTATTATTATTAAAATATTTATTTTTAATTTACTATTTATTTTATAATTATTATCTAAATTTATATCTATTTCTTCATTTATTTCATTAGTACTATATTTATTTTTACTTTTTATATCATATTCACCGTTTATATATATAATTTCCTAATTTGATTAAATTTATTGTAATTCCTATTATTATTATTATATTAATTTACTTTATTTATATTTATTTAAATTTTATTCAGAGCATTAAACTTATAGTGTTTCTGAAGAATGATTTTTTAATTAACTTTTTTCATAGCAACTTTCATTATAAACTCCAGAACTTTCTGATTCTTCTTATTATGATGATAAATATGATGATGTTTATATATTCGATTATTTTTTATTTTTATTTTATATTTATTATAATATATTTTATTAAATTTTCCTTAATTATAGATTCACTTATTTTATTTACTTTAAAGAATAATATTTAAAATATTTTCTTTTAAATAATTATCTTTTATTAATGTTGACAAAATTATACCTTTAAATTATATATTCTCTTTTTTAGTATAACTGTAATTATATATATATATATAATTAAATGTAAATTATATATAAATATATTTTTTGTTAAAAAAAATAACTGTAAATAAAGACAATTCTAGACCTAATGTTTTAAAGATTTACATACATAACATTCATTATTAATTCCTTTATTTTAAAATAAAATCTCATCTTTTATCATATTAAAAATTTCTTTATCTTAAGGAAAGTTTTCTAATATTTCTAAAAAATCATTTCTTTCTAAATACACTAGAAAACTAAAATCTATACTTTTTCCATCATTTTCTTTGTTTTTCCCTGTAAAAAATTCATTAAATCCAAACCAAGAATTTTCCTGTATTAATATATTTTATCTAATAAAAATAAATAAATATTATTGACTTTATGTTCTGATATTATCGGTGTTGGCATTATATTTTATATATATTATATTATTTTCCCTTATCTTATAAAATAAAGTCTATTATTAACTTATCCTTTTGCAAATATAACCTTATTAGGAGAATATGCTTCTTCCTTTAATTTAGGAATAATAGAGCTTATTAATTATTAAGAAAATCTCTTTTAAAAAAAATGATTAGTTTTTAATATATTCCCAAAATATTCTTTAAATAAATTATTCATTAAATCTTTGGAAATAACCTTTTTATTTTTAATAATAAAAATACATATAAACAATACTTTTAAGCAATTAGATTATTCTAATTATGTTTATTCTTCCATTTTTTTATGATAATAAATTTATTACAATACTTAAGCTTGAATATGTCTACTAATATTTCTTTAAATCATATATTAAGAAACATTAAAAATTTGTTTTCTATAACAAAAAAAGTACTAACATAAAACAAATAAATAAAAAAAAAATACTTTAAATCTAAAGTTTACATATAATAATCATTAACAATTGTACTAACAGTTGATACAAAATAAGCAAACATTCCACAACTAATAATCGAAATAAAGCACACAACTAATTTTTCTTCACTAGAAATAGGATGTATATCCCCATATCCGATAGTAGTCATAGTAATAATAATAAAATAAATACTATTTAAATATTAAGTAGATATATTTTCATTCTAAAGTGAATTACTTATAATCCAATTATTACTATTAAGTCTAGAAACAGCATGAAAAGAGCACGCAAGTAAATGGCTTAATAAAAGAACTTAAAAAAGAACTTTAAAAAGTGTATATTTGGTGAAATATTTTTCCTAAATCTAAAGATTTTAACATAATGTATTTATTTCGAAATTAAAAATATATAATCTTAATATAAACGAAACAATATTTTAGTTTAAAAAAGCACTAGAAATAATCGCTATAATAGTCGGCCAATACATCCCTAAGAAATATCTTTTAACAATTTCTTTACTAGAAACTATTAAAAAGCCTTTTTCAAAATAAGCCAAATTAAAATTTACGTAAATATCAATTAAATAGATTAAATAAAAAGGAGTTTTTAATAAATTTTCGTAGTGAGTATTTTAGTATAAAATATCAGAATTCGAGCTTTTAAAAGAAAGAATGAAAGGAATATAAAATATTTCTACTATAAAGATTATTATGATGAATATTTTCCAAAAAATTAGTAATTTATTATCAGGAAAAATTATTAATTTATTACTTTTTGGCTATACTAATTATATTTTTTTACTTATTTTATAATCACTTATATTTTAAATAGAACATAATTAATCTTTTTTGTTATTTACAGCTTCGTATATTATTTTAGAAGATTTATCGCCTATGCTTCTTATAAATTATACAGGAATAGTTTAAAAGCGACGGACAATGTTTAATTCTTCAAATTTTTTTATTATTTTTTTTATAATAATTAATTATAAAAATGTATTTTCTAAATTTTTCTTTTTAATAAATTATGATTTTCTTTTAGATTCTGAAATTTTAAGAGATTCAGAGCATTATATAGAGTATTTTTTAGAAAATTTTAAATTTTATTAATTTAGTTATAAACTTTATATTCGTTTAAATTTTGGAGAATTCAAAGGATAATCTGTATTTAATCTATCTTATAATTATACCATATTTGTATTAATTTTATATTTTATAAATTTTATTTATAAATAAATATAAAATTTATAAAATTATAAAAATATAATTTTATGTTTAAAAAAAAATAAAATATATTTATATAAATTAAAAAAAATATAATTAAATATTTATAAAAATATAAATATAAATATACATATATATATATATATATATATATATATATGTTGTTTATATATAATTTTTTTTTCATTTTATTCTAATATTAGAAATTTTTAATATTATTATAATACATTTTTCAATATATAATACTTTTTCACAAAATTTGTTTTGAATTAATTAAATATATTATACAATAAATATATTATTTTAAATAATTTTTTATATTTAACTTATTATTTTATCAAATTTTTATTAGTTTATTTAGTTTTTAAATACAATTTTATTTATTTTAAACTTTTATTAACATTAAAAATTTCAATTTTTTTTTCTAAAATTTACAAATAATATTTTTATATATTTGATAAGAATATTAAATTTATCTTATATTACATAAAAAATAAAATATTAAGAAACTATATTTATTAATCTTTTAATATAAACAATGTTTTTTTATAAATATTTCTTCAATAATCATTAAAAAAAAAATTATATATTTTTTTTAATTAAATATACTTTAATAAATATGTAAAATTATTTATTTAATATAATTTAATATCATTTCATTGAATTTTATTTGAAACAATCCTTATTTTTTAAATAATTATAAAACAATATTTCTTTAATTAAATTCGAATATATTATGAATATTTTATTTTTTTTAAATAAAAATGATTAAATTACTAATTTTATTATTTAATAATATTAAATTATATAAAAGAAATAATATATATATAATATTATAATTATTTAAAATAATAAAAATGCATCATATATTCGATGATCATAACAATTAAATATACGAAGATTAAATTATTTCTGAAACTCATGATTAAAAGCATAAAGTATTGTGTTAAATATGTTTTGGATTAATTCGAACCCCTATTTTAGTATGTAGTAACTGTAGTTATTATGCTTGTGGTTTATGTATATAAAGTTGGAAAAGGGCAAATAAATAAGGTACATGCCCTCTAAAATGTTTAAAAGACGCTTAATTTTTAGAGAAGCCAGTCCCTTTTCTTATAGAAGCTTTATAAAAAATATAAATAAAATGTCCTTTTTCTAATACTGAAACATAGAAATGTTAAATAGTTTCAAATTATTAAAATTACTAATAACATTTATAAGAATGTGATTATAGGCTATGTAAATGCAAATATAGTCCTAATGAAATTATGTGCTAGAAAGACTTAGAAGAACATTATAAGATATGTTAATTTTCAAATTAAAAGTGTTTTTATTGCCTTAAATTTTTCAGTTAAATCGATATTTAGGACCATCAAAGCAATTGCGAAAAAAGATTAGTCGAATGTACTTT